TCTCCGTTCTTACCGAGTACTGCGGTATGTTACGTAACATGGAACACTCAAGGTTTATTTGCGGCTGTGGGAGGAGGGGGTGGTCGAGCTTCGCGTCGATATTCACAACTCCTGTCTCTAGCTAAACGCTACAGTATTGTGTGCGCTCAGGAGACCCATGGGCACCTGGGGGATGCTGAGGAGGTCAAGTGTCAGCTTCGTGGGAGCAGCGTAGGATTTTCTTCGCATGCGGAAGCCAACGCTGGTGGTGTCCTCACTGCCCTTCATGAGCAGTTTCGTTCTCACTTCCAATCCATTCGTCATGTTCCTATCATCCCTGGTCGTGTCCTCCTCTCACGCTGCATTGGTAAGCATGGTATGATGTGTATCGTCAATTGTCACATGCCCAACACGAGTGATGGCACACCGCTCTATCGCCGCATCTTGTCCGCCATGTTAGCCGCCCTGCCGCCAGCCACTGTCTCTTTCAACTTGATGGGGGGGGGGGGGGGCTGGAATTTCGCTTTAGAGGAGGAGGGAAGGATGGGAGATGATGGTCATACATGGCATAGTGGTGATCGATTGCACCACGACGCATTTAACCAGCTCTGCGGCAGCTGGATAGAATTTGCGCAGGATGAACCCACCCGGCAGGGGTGGAACAACGCCAGGCAGACGCACTCTTCTCGGCTTGATCGGTTGTACTCAGACACGCCCAGTGCCATGTTGCAGGACCTCACCACACAAGCCAAAGTCTGGGGCTCACTGGGGGGCAAGACACCATCCGATCGTCGCCCGCTCGTGGTCACCTTCCAACGTTATGTTCCGTGGGAAGGCTCGCCTGTTATCCCGAATGTCATTGCGCGCTCGCCCGAGTACCGTGCCCTCGTCCGCCAGCATCTCATAGAGATCCCTGCTGCGTGGGGCCCCCTTGAACGTCATGCTGCTGCCGAGTGTATATGTCATGAACAAGTTACGCCCGCTCGCATACGTATCAAACATCGTCCTGCACGCACTCATGGGGAAAACAGTATTGGACTATGCATGCGCTCCGCGGTGTACGTTCTCACAAATTTCATATGTGCATTACCGCCCTCCGTACCTATGCTGCCCTCCCCCCCTTCTTCGATGTCGAAACCGAGACCTGTAACGACCTCCCGCAGTTGTGAGCACGCGCGTTTGCTACAGCAGGCTGCGATTGACGACGAGCTCCACGGGCTGGAAGCCTGCGTAGCTGAAGATCTTTCCGAAGAATCCTGGGTCCAGCATCAGGTTGCACGATTTCGACGGAAACGGGAGCTTTGGTCTAAACTTCGTCGTCGAGTTTACCTTGTGGGGGTCTTGGATCCTAATGTATCTCCTTGTGGGTCCCTGGAGGCGCCTGGAAAGGTCCTGGCCAACCATTGGTCCGAGGTTTTCAAGGACACCCCTGTTGATCGCGAGCTTTGGGATGAAATTATTGGGTTTGTTCCGCATGTTCAGGATCTCGGGATTACGCCTACGTGGTTCTTAACCAGGCCTAGCTTTCACAATATGCTACTTGCACGGCGCAACGCTGCTCCTGGTCCAGACGGCATTCCATACTCATGCTGGCAGGAGAGTGGTGCCCTTGACATTCTTTATGATGTATATGAATCTATGTTTGACTCGTTCAGCGCCAACATGCCGTCTAGCATGCAGGAGATGTTGCTTGTATTTCTTCCAAAGGGCACGAGCCCGAATGATACGGCTGCTGGTGCATTCCGCGCAGCCGACTGTACCAGGCCGCTAGCCCTCTCGGACACGGACTGCAAAGCCCTCTCGTTCGCTTTCACCCAGCCGCTAAATGAAGTGGCGGCCGCCGCCGTACATGAGCGCCAGAAGGGAGGGATCAAAGGGAGGGGCACGTTGGCTAACATTGTGGAGGCGGAGGCGCGGGGGCTGGAGATGCGGGGCACTGGTCAGAAGCATGCTGCCGAATTCCTCACTGACTTCTCGGCCGCATTCCCCTCGATCTTTGTACACTGGATTCTCATGGTACTATCTCGTCTCGCTATCCCACGTGAAGTAATCTCGTTTTCCAGTCGCCTGCACGATGACAACTCGGCATGGATTACCCTTGGGGGGAGGAGACAAACTAAAATATTGATCGGACGAGGTGTTCGGCAAGGGGACCCTGCCTCAATGGTTTTATTCGCCTTGGCTACTGACCCCATAACCCGGTGGCTTGTCTGGCGCAGTGGTCGTTTCGTGCATCGTATGTTAGCTTACGCTGACGACTGGCTCTTTATGCCCAGCAATGTTCTGTCTGATCTTCCCCCCTCTTCTTCAGCTTGTTACCTTGTTGGAAGGGGCTGTTGGCTTGAAACTTAACCTTAAGAAGTGTGTTGTCCTCCTCGTGGGTGATGCGAAAGTGGCGTGGCTCCAACCTGCGTGCAAAGACCTCGGTGAACCCTTCTCACTCCTGTGCATCGTGAAACACTGTAAGTACTTAGGCATCCATATTGGCCCTGAAGCTGCACAATATGCGGGAGATGAAGTTATTCCAGCCTTTGTGGGGCGGTATCGTGCAGTTCGGCAGCAGGGCTTTGGTCTTCCACTGTCTATTTCTTCTTATCAGTCGCTCTGTCTCTCCAAGCTCCAGTTTACCTTACAATGTTATCCTCCCTCACCTGCTCTGCTTGCCAGTCATGTTCGTGCGATGCAGTTGCTGAACGCCGCCCCTCGGTTCAGTTTCTCAAAGCACATGCTCACTGGATTGCGCGCATTCGGCAGCAGCAATGAGTTCCCCTGCCTGCAGAGCATCGGACACGCCAGCCAGTTACGTTTACTCGCCAAGTGCTCTGTTCTGCAGTCGTCGCTCGAGAACTTGAAGCAAGTGAGGGAGGGGGGCGAGATGATGATTGCCAGGGGAAGGAGGGGATGGTGGCAGAAGAGTTTCTTGATGGCTATCCAGCAGACGGCAACAATTTATGCCGGCATTTATACTTCGTTGCCGCAGGACATTAACAGCAAGAGTATTCAGCGTTACTTTTGTCGTAAGCTTCGCTTCTCCCTACCCGTCGCTCTCAAGGACTGCCCCGAAACCGGTTTACTGAAGCGTCTTCAGGCGTGGCGTCCTGGGATTTCTCCTGGTACAGTTGCTCTCTTGATCCAGAGGATTCGTTTTATCATTAAGAAATCTCAGGCGTATCTTGGGATTGCTGTCCTACGTATTGCATGTCGGGGTATCTGCGCGACATCCAGATTCCACTGTATCCCCAGGGGCTGTATCTTCGGCTGTGATGCCCCTGCAGGCGTTGATTATGACGATCTTAAGCATTACTCAGTTTGTCAGCGGCTCCGTGCACTCTGTATATCCCATCTTGGTCCTTTCCATGCTCCTGGTGATGATGAATGGTTCTCTGAATTGATCCTTGCCTCCTCCCTCACCCCTTCCCCCTCTGCAATGCTCAGATATGCAAGCTGTTGTGATGCTTTTGTTCACGCGCACTCATCTGTGCGAACTGGCAGCAGTGCCGATGTGGAGCAGGCGTTTCACGCGCGCCTGA